TATCTATCTATCTATTTGCCATTGTATCCCAACTTTGAATAAGTTCTTATTTTAAAAGTGGCTGAACAATAATGAACACTTAGCATTGGAGTAACCATTTTAAAAGATCAAAATGCTTCCTATGTGTGATCTTATCATTTCACTGTGACTTCTAAGATAGCGAACAAGACTGCAGCATGAAGTCATTCAAATAAAGCACCTGTCAGCAACTTCTTAAAGCAGCTGTGTCTTTTCCCTGGTTCATACTGCTGTTCACTTCAGCTGTCATGCAATCCAGGAAAATGTATCTTTGGATTAAGGAGTTATAGACAAGTGTTACGTGCCTGTTCCATATGCACCTCCTTAAAATCAAATCCAGAGCACTGAGTAGTGTACTAATCAAATACATAATGCTTGCCGAAGTGGCAATAAGCTTGGTGCCTACCAAAGGTTTTGCATTACAGTTCTCATCAGACCCATCTAACATGAATAGTGTTAGTGTTTGTTGTCCAAAACATCTGGAAGGCATCACACTGCATAAGCTTACACAAGATTCTGGTTTTGGATAGAGTTCAGTCTGTATAACAATAGCATTATCCCTGAGAGAGCTGGGCTAGATACTTATTATTTTATTAGATTTTTCTACTGACTCATGGAGAGTCAATTCTCTATCTCCGCTCAGTCTCTGCCCACTTTGAATCAAGTGACTGTTTTCACTGACTAAATGTTGATGTATATTCTACAGTTCTAAAGACAAACTGTTATTTAGCTCCAAAGCCTTTTCGCTAAGATCAAGTGTGTGTTTATCTCCCTACGTGGTTAAAACAAACAAAAGCTAGAACTTTGTTCAGGATTATGAGAGGTCTTGGCACATATCAGAAGCATGCTGGTGCATCCATGAATCTTTACCAATCTCTTCCTCCACTTACAGCTGTTTAAAGCTATATCAGCTGCTATTAGGGAGTTTTCTCCAATTTTAGAGAGTTGGGTTGGCTTAGTAATCTAAGATTACTAAGGACAAAAAAGCAGAACAAGGGTACAAAAGTCTTGGTGCTTTCAGGTGCTGTAGTGTGTGCAGCTTAGCTTTTTTTTTTTAATCCTTTTTCTGTTGTCTGTAGATTTCAACTTCTATGGTTGGAATCATGGAGGAACAGCCAGCCCTAGCTGAACAGGGCTACTTTAATAGCAACAGCACTGTCTTAGACTTATATACCATTTCACTGTGCTTTACAGCCCTCAGCGGTTTACAGACTCAGCATATTGCCCCCAACAATCTGGGTCCTCAGTTTATCAACCTCAGAAGGATGGAAGGCTGAGTCAACCTTGCTCTGGTGAGAATCGAACTGCCAAACTGCTGGCAGCCAGCAGTCAGCAGGAGAAGCCTGCAGTACTGTATTCTAACCACTGCACCACTAGATTAAACCTAGATATATCTCAACTTGGCTTCTACTTGATAGACCCTTGATTTTTCCAGTTAAGGGGTGGGAAAGGCCATTGTCTGGAATCCTTGAGGGCATGTTCTTAAAACCTTGGATTTTTAAATTTGGCCTTTTTGGCAGGCTTTTGGAACAACCATGAACCAAACATTGGTTCTTAGTTTTGACCTTTGTAGTCCTTTAAAGTCCTATATGGCATAAGGCCAGGTGACCTCTTCGGTGTTACCTGTACCCATTGCATCAGATCTGGCAGGAGAGGCCTGTTGCTGGTCCCTTCCTAGGAAGCAAGCCTTTTCTGCTGTAGCACCAATCCTCTGGAATATTACCTGTCTCAAGGTGATGTTAGCCCTGATCATTTCAGCCTTCCATAAGGCTCTCAAAATACAGCTTTTTCAGCAAACTTGGGGATCCCATGGTAAGTTTGGGTCTTTTTCTATTTCAACTAGAACAAGGAGATCAGTGCTGGAGTTTTAAAATGAAAGTTTATTTGTCAGGGTGAAACACTGTTGTACAATGAAAAGAAAACCAACCATGGGGGAACGGAATCTATTCCTCAACTATCATATAGAAATGAAGAGCGTCTGATAGTTGTGAGTGATGTAAGCAAGAGCTGAGAAAGTAGTTATATAGGAAAGAACTCAAGTATGGAATCTGCTTCCCATCCAGCACTAAAGAGCATTGCAAATATTAAACTGTATCACTGATTTCCCAAAATGAACTGGCCAGAAATATCGTATGCCTACAATTATTGCTAACATTACTTTTGGGTGAACACTGAGTATCCTTTTCTCGTTGCAAGGTATAGAGCAGGGGTAGGCAACCTTGGCTCTTTTATGACTCGTGGACTTCAACTCCCAGAATTCCTGAGCCTGCATGGCTCAGCTTGGAAACCTCTCCCTTTCCCCTCAGCATGGCTGGCTCAGGAATTCTGGGAGTTGAAGTCCACGAGTCATAAAAGAGCCAAGGTTGCCTACCCCTGGTATAGAGGTTCCTTCCTAATTTTTCCACTCTGCTAAAATGAAGGCTTTCCTTGTCTTTCTTAACTGCCTCTAGTGTCCAACAAACACCATTTTATGGATAGCAACCTGCTCTATCAGTTCCGGATGAATTTCCGCCGCAGGAGAAGACTGATGGAACTACTTACCGAGAAGTCTCACTTGGTGCCCGAGAGCCATGATAGTCCCTTTTGCCTGCGGAAGCAAAATCATGACCACAAAAAACATGCCACTTTCCTCTCAGGTATAATATGTTTGATTAGAGCTGGAGGGTAAATGGAACTACAGGTAGCCCTTGAGTTATGACCATAATTGAGCCACACAGTTACAGTCACAAATTGTGACTGTTGTAAAGTGGGTCGTCACATGACCAGATAACAATTTTATGACCTTGAGCAAACCGCCACAGTAATAAAATGAACTCTACAGCCGTAAAGCAAACACTACGGTCATTAAGTGGAAACTGGAAGTAAACACCGGTTTCTGGAAAAAAAACATTGTAAAGCCCAGTCACGTGATTGTGCAACGCTGCAAACAGCTGTAAAGGTGGGCCCAAAAAGTGGTCACTTGCTGTTGGAACTTCAGAATCAGAATCGTAAGTAGTTTTTGGCAAGTCTGTCATACTTTGGGTAATCACCAAGTTGTAAGTCGAGGACTATCTGTATGCACAGGAACTGGTTCAATGTCTCATATTGTACAGGATGTTTAACTAACATCCAGTTTTTCCGGATGCAGCTCAAAAGATGGGTAATTGTTTTTGAAGTATTGCATGGTTTGGATACCATATAGGAAAACCGGAAGGACCAAGGTCAGACCCCCCCCCAAAAAAATCAGAGACTAAGCAGGCCTATACAGTAACAGTGCACAAGTGTCCATCACTGAGAAATAACCAGCTTGCTGTCTATCATGATACACAGGTGGGGAACAAGAAATGCAAGGTTTGAATCTGGGCTCATATTTTGATGGCTTCAGGCTAATACCTGGCAATTGCTGGTTTTCTGCCCTAATTACATCTTTTCTAGTATCTATAATAAAATTAAAATAATCAAAGAGCTATGTCCCACTGACCTTCATGTTTGAGATCTGGGTGAAATCTTGTACCCAGTTCCATATTTTCTGCTTGCTTTCTAAGTTCTGAGATAGAGATAAGAATCTGCCTTATTCTGACTCAGAACGTTGATTCAGCCAGCCTGGTACTATATCCCAGTAATAGATTTGATTCATGACAAGTTTCCTTTTAAAAACATTGGTAATTTCTGAGCGTACTTGGAGAAAGGGTGTTTGTTTGGTTGTTTTTTTTTTGCTTCTTTCCTTTCCTTTTGCTATACATAGACAGCGGGCAGCCCTTGTCTGATTTTGCTCAAGGGAAGACAGCTCTTTTACAAAATCAGGTTCCCCACTCTTACGACACTCCTTGTATTGGCACCTGAGTCCCCAACCTTGTTAACAAGAGAGGCTTACATGTCAAGCAAATACATTATCCAAAATTGTGTTTATGATTAGTTTCCCCTGAAGAGGTATATTTTCCTTTCAACGCCTTAGGAAGTGAAATGGTTCCAGGAAATTTTTGTGTATTCACATGAAGTTCATTGCTGTTGATTATACCAGGGTGTTGGCCTTTAATTCTTGACAAAAGGATGCGGCAGGGAATACAGTACATCCTGCAGGCAAAAATTCTTATCCCTGGCAATTCTCTGTTGAAGCATCTGGTGATAGGACAGATCTCCATCTGAACTTTTGGAGAGTTAGTGCTAAGGACAGGAAACCAAAGGTGGGCAAACATCTTTATTCTTTATGGGTAGTCCTTGACTTATGACCCAACCCAAAATTTCCATTGTTAAGCAAGAGAGTTGTTAAGTGAGATCTGCCCCATTTTACGACTTTTCTTGCCACAGTTGTTTAGTGAATCACTGCAGTTGTTAACTTAGTACAGGGGTAGTCAACCTTGGCTCTTTTATGACTCGTGGACTTCAACTCCCAGAATTGAAGTCCACGAGTCATAAAAGAGCCAAGGTTGACTACCCCTGACTTAGTAATATGATTGTTAAGTGAACCTGGCTTCCCCATTGACTCTGCTCGTCAGAAGGTTGCAAAATGATAAATCACATAATCCCAGGACACTGCAACTGTCATAAATATGAGCCAGTTGCCAAATGCCTGAATTTTGATCAGATGACCATGGGGATGCTGGAACAGTTGTTAAGTTTTAAAAACGGTCGTAAGTTGCTGCTTTCAGTGCCGTTGTAACTTCAAACAGTCACTAAACAAATGGTTGTAAGTCAAGGACTACCTGTACTTCTTAGGGTTATAGTCTTTTAGCAGCCACCTGATGGGTAGTACAATGGGTAAGAAAGCAGAGTGGGACACACTTATTCTATCCTTCATATCCACTTCTTTCTCACTCCATCTTTTCTTCCTCCCACGTAGCAGATTGCTTACACCAACGGTCTTAGGACAGTTACTTTTCACACAGCCAGTGAGAAACATTGCAAAATCAAAGTCTAGTTAGAGTAGAATGCACAGAAAAAGTAAAGGTTTCCCCCTATCCAGTCGTGTCTGACTCTAGGACATGGTGCTCATCTCTGTTTCTTGGCTGAGGGAGCCAGCGTTGCCCAAAGACCCTTTCCGTGGTCATATAGCCAGCATGGCTATACACCAAAGGTGCATGGAACGCTGTTACCATCCCACCGAAGTGGTACCTATTTATCTACTTGCATTTTCATGCTTTCGAACTGCTAGGTGGGCAGGAGCTGAGGCAAGTAGCGGGAGCTCACCCCATCGCATGACGCTCGGGTCTCAAACCTGGGCTGTCAGCTCTCCAGCATCTTTAACCGCTGGAGCCATCGCGCCCCTTTTAGAATGTACAGAAGAGGAGGGCAAAAGGTTTATTAGGTGCAACAACTAGTCATACGTCTACCTCGTTCAGCACCATCATAACTTCAAACGGTTGCTGAACGAGTGGTCATTCCATGAGGGTTACCTGTAATAAGGTTCTGAAGTGACAGAGGAACATATGGAAAACAGTAAGAGACCCAAGCTTGGTTCTTGTCTTCTACATAAATCTCCCTCGCTCTTTGGTTTGGTTAGTGAGCCCCAGCAAGGAGATCAAGATTGTCTCTGCGGTCAGACGGAGTAGCATGAGCAGCTGTGGCAGCAGCGGGTACTTCAGCACCAGTCCGACCCTCGGCAGCAGCCCACCTGTCCTCTGCAACCCAAAATCTGGTAGGATGCTGAAGCATGTTTGCAACAGTGATGGTTTAAGGCAGGGGTAGGCAACCTTGGCCCTTTTATGACTCGTGGACTTCAACTCCCAGAATTCCTGAGCCAGCATGGCTGGTTCAGGAATTCTGGGACTTGAAGTCCACAAATCATAAAAGAGCCAAGGTTGCCTACCCCTGGTTTAGGGGGTCTGCATTATTGCATGTAATTATGTGCACATTCTGTTTCTTTAAAAAGAAAACGCAAGTAGCAGCTACTGGGCTGGGGAATGTGATGATGGTTGATTGTGGCTATTTATTAGAGAGCAAATTTAATCCTTTTGTTTTGTTTCCAATCATGAAAATAGGTTGGAAATGGCTGTTTGCCTTGAGCAGAAATTAATAACTTTGGAGGAGCAATTACCATCCCAGGCAGAATTAAAGCTTACATATACTGTAGCTTCAAGTCACATCTTGATACTTGGGGACATCCTTATAGCCTCAGTATAAAAATGGCTTTATAAAGATATAATTGACTAGCTTTATGCTCAGTATATCTCTCCCACCCCAACTCCTGCCCCTCCAAATCTTACATCTGGGCAGGAGGCAACAGCAATCCATTCTTGCATGGTTGCAAATAACACTTAGAAACCAGAAGCTGAGTTTGAATTAGCAGAATGTAGTCCTCGTTTAGGGCTGCGCAGATATTTGGATTTAGAGGATATCTAGGTGTGCACATAACACTTGTCAGGAACCCTTTAAAGCAGTGTTTCTCAACCTTGACAATTTTAAGGCATGTGGACTTCAACTCCCAGAATTCCACAGCCAGCAATGCTGGCTGTGGAATTCTGGGAGTTGAAGTCCACATGCCTTAAAATTGTCAAGGTTGAGAAACACTGCTTTAAAGCCATGTTTTTCAAACTTGGCAGCTTTGAGATATATGGAGCTCAACTCCCAGACTTCCCCAGCCAGCTTGATATCTAACATTTACTTTACTGTTTTGTTTAGATTTGTTAACTCACTCTTAATTAGAATAGAATAGAATAGAATAGAATAGAATAGAATAGAATAGAATAGAATAGAATAGAATAGAATAGAATAGAATAGAATATAGAATGGAATGGAATAGAATAGAATAGAATAGAATAGAATAGAATAGAATAGAATAGAATAGAATAGAATAATAGAATAGAATAGAATAAAATGGAATGGAATGGAATGGAATGGAATTAGAATAGAATAGAATAGAATAGAATAGAATAGAATGGAATGGAATTAGAATAGAATAGAATAGAATAGAATAGAATAGAATAGAATAGAATAGAATAGAATAGAATAGAATAGAATATAGAATGGAATAGAATAGAATAGAATAGAATAGAATAGAATAGAATATAGAATAGAATAGAATAGAATAGAATAGAATAGAATAGAATAGAATAGAATAGAGCTGGAAGGGACGTTGGAGGTCTTCTAGTCCAGCTCCCTGCTTGAGCGGGAGAACCTATATCGTCTCTGACAGGTGGATGTCTAGTCTCTTCTTAAAAATCTCCAGTGATGGAGTGTCCACGATTTCTGGAGGCAAGCTGTTCCACTGGTTGATTGTCCTCACTGTCAGGAAATTTCTCCTTAATTCCAGATTGCTTCTCTCTTTGGTCAGTTTCCAACCGTTGTTTCTCATCCTTCCCTCTGGTGCTCTGGTGAACAAGCTGGCCCCCTCTGCCCTGTGGCAGCCCCTCAGATACTGGAACACTCCTATCATGTCTCCCCTATTTCTTCTTGTCCTTAGACTAGCCAGACCTAAATCCCGTAGCCGTTATTTGTATGTTTTAGAAGTAACTCAAGGTGGAGAGCTTATATAACCCACCTTCCTGTTCCTATGTTCCGCACAACAACAACCCTGTGAGGTGGATTGGGATCAGAGAGTGACTGGCCCAAAGTCACTCAGTTGGCTTTCATGCCTGAAGCAGGACTAGAACTCACAGTCTCCTTGTTTCTAGGCCACCACCTTAACCAAGGAAACTGTTTGGCCTGGGTTACGGTTATGAACGGTAGATACAGATGAACTCCTAATCTTATTTTGCCCTCCAGATCCCTGCACAGCCCTAACCTTTTTACATGCTTGTGATGCAAGTAATTAAATAAAATGTATATTTAAAAAAGCAAAAGTCACTACCTGTCTCTCTTTGTAGAGCAAATAATCAAACCTGTCTAGACAACTGTAGGCTAAGCCCTACAAGGGGCAACCCCACGTTATACAATATTTTTTTGGAGACCTGTACAATTTCCATTCAAAGACGTGGAACTGAATGTCTACAGGCTCCCAATAGTTAAATAAACAAACACACTGGGCACTTTCAAAGCTAGCATGCCAAGCTAAAGAGAACCCTGATAAGCTATGTCAGATAAGCTGGGGTGTTTAAATGATAAAACATTCCAGCATTTTAGATCACGTGTACATTATTATTGGCACAATAAAATAAAAATATTGTAAGGCTGTGAAGACTTGGTTGTGTGCCCTGGCCTGAGGCCCTGAATGTGTTAAGAGTCCCGTTTCCTGGTTGTATTAACATCCTAGTAACCGTTTTATTTGATGTCATGTACATTTATTTTGTCCTGTGTTAAGCCTTCCAGACTTACTTGTTGAGATGGTCAGCTGTAGAAATCAAAAAATAAACAATAGATCAGGGATCTTCAGACTTGGCCCTTTTATGACTTGTGGACTTCAACTCCCAGAATTCCTCAGCCAGCATGCCTGGCTGAGGAATTCAGGGAGTTGAAGCCCACAAGTCATAAAAGGGCCAAGTTTGAAGACCCCTGCAATAGACTGTTGGAATAGAAGCCAAATTATTACTAGTGGATTTGAAGGAGAAAGAGTTTTATTTGAGAATTGGGTGGGAAGTGATCTCTGGAACCCTGATGGCACAGTGGTTAGAATGCAGTATTGCAAGTTAACTCTGCCCACAGCCTGGAGTTCGATCTTGATAGGCTTGAGGTTGACTCAGCCTTCCATCCTTCTGAACTTGGTAAAATGAGCACTCAGATTGTTGTGGGCAATATGCTGACCTTGTAAACTGCTCAGAGAATGCTGTAAAGCGCTATGGAGCAGTATATAATTTAAGTGCTATTGTAAGGTGACCAACTTTTTTACAATGAGAAGGAGGACACAAATAAATTGAAGAAAAAAAAGTGAATCTAATGCGTGCGTGTGTGCCGTGTCGTGTTTTGGTAAGAAGTAAACAAAGCCACTTGCGTGCGGCGCACTCTTGCGTGCAGCGCACTCTCTCAAAACAATTCTCCTGCGCAGAGCGCATGTGTCTCATAATCGCGTCTCGCCGCACTGTACCGAGCCTTGATGAATCGTCATGTCAAATACAAATACGTCATATCACACGCAATGGATCGGATCGGCATCGATCGAATACGGAGATTTACAGATTAGTCTTCAAATATCGAAAAGGAGGACATGTAGGAGGACACTTTTCGAGAGGACAGAACTTACAAAAGAAGGACTGTCCTCCGTAAAGGAGGACGATTGGTCACCTTAGCTATTGCTATCTTTCCCAGCAACAGATATATTGCATAGAGTGCTGGTTTGGATTTGATTTTTCCACTTAGAAGAGCCTTGCTTGGAAGCATCCTCAAGCTGGGTTCCAAAGCACTATTGACTATGTTGACATAAAGTGCCCAGCAAAAAACCAGACTAACCACATTATTCAATTAGACTTCTAGGCTAATAGATTTTTCTTAGGTTGATCCCACAAAGGCAACCACCTGTCTTGCCGTGTTTCAGCACTTGTAGTCTACAGTGTTTGCGAACATTGACTAAGCAGCAATACATTTGATTTTATAAGCAATTCTTCATGGATTCCCATATGGTCATCCTTCATCTAACATTCAATGCTGTCTTTGTTGAATTCACAGCAGTGATGATATGTGAGTAGACAGTGAGGAGAGGACTGCTGCTGTGTCTCTCAAGCGCTGGTTAGAAATTAGAGATGCTTCTAGGTCAGTGCTTTTCAACTTGGACAACGTGAAGATATGTGGACGTCAAATCCCAGAATTCCCCAGCCAGTATGCTGCCTGGGGAATTCTGGGAGTTGAAGTCCACACTTCTTCAAATTGTCAAGTCTAAAACATGGTTCTAGAACAGGGGTAGTCAACTTTGGCTCTTTTATGACTTGTGGACTTCAATTCCCAGAATTCCTGAGCCAGCTTAGCTGGCTCAGGAATTCTGGGAGTTGAAGTCCACGAGTCATAAAAGAGCCAAGGTTGACTACCCCTGTTCTAGAAGCTGCCTGAAGGGTTTTTATTATTTTTTATTTGTCTCTCCTTAGTGGATTTCTTGTTTAAATAAAACAAATTGAGGTATATGCATGAACACTTGACAAATGCTGTCTTCTCTAGGCAAAGCAATACCAGAATAAAAAAACTTTCCTGGAGAAGCAATCTGCTAAAATCCTAAATCACTGAAACTAGAGTGTGTATATAGAATGGATGCAAAATCACCTCAGAATCAGATTAAAATCCATGTTTTCTGCCTGGTTTGACTTCTCGATTGTAGATCAGTCTGTAGGTTTATTTTACAATTTATTTTTTATTTATTTTATTTCCATAGCCACCCATCTCAACTGTGCAATTCACAGCCCAGGCAGATTGATTTATGTAGAGCTATGAATGAAACAGGGAGCACATGAAAGGGGAAACAACAAAGAGATGAAGCTAGGACTGAGAGGAGCCATAAAATTATTTCAGCTGTCACATCAATTCGTATCTGACAGGCCCCTATTGAACAAGATGAAAGCTACCATCAGCCTATTTTTGTTCTAAGCGATTTCCTGTGCTTCCAGAAAGATGAAAGATAACTCAATTCTGGGCTTCTGAAATAAGAGGATAAAAATATGCTGATTCTAAGGAAAATTTTGACTAGGAAGAAATAATTTGGGCTTCTCCTTTTTCAGATCAGTCTGGTTGTGCATTACCAACTTCAGCACAGTTTCTGTAGTTTTGAGCTGTGTGATAGAAGGCGCTTTAATCATCTGAGGAACCCAGAAGCATGACTGATTTTGTGATTCTAGATCAGGGGTAGGCAACCTTGGCTCTTTTATGAGTTATTTGTAAAAATAATGAAGGCAGAATGAATGAATGAATGAATGAATGAATGAATGAATGAATAAATGAATGAATGAATAAATGAATGAATGAATGAGGAACAACCTGCCTCCAGAAGTGGTGAATGCTCCAACACTGGAAGTTTTTAAGAAGAGATTGGACAGCCATTTGTCTGAAATGGTATAGGGTTTTCTGCCTGAGCAGGGGGTTGGACTAGATGACCTCCAAGGTCCCTTCCAACATTATTATTATTATTATTATTATTATTATTATTATTATTATTATTATTATTATTATTATTATTATTATTATTATTATTATTATTATTATTATTATTATTAAAAGCATCATTCCTCTCTTCTTCACTGTAGCTATACAGGTAGTCTTCAACTTACAACAGTTCATTTAGTGACCATTCAAAGTTACAATGGCACTGGAAAAAAAAATCTTATGATCGTTTTTCACACCTTATGAGCACTGCGGCATCCCCCACGGTCGTGTGATTAAAATTCATAAACTTAGCAACTGACTCCTATTTATGACGATTGCCGTGTCCCGGAGTCATGTGATCCCCCTTTGCAACCTTCTGACAAGCAAAGTCCATGGGGAAGCCAGATTCACTTAACAACCAGGTTACTCACTTAACGACTGCAGTGAGTCACTTAACAACTGTGGCAAGAAAGGTCACAAAATGAGGCAAAATTCACTGAACAAATGTTAGCAACAGAAATTTTGGGCTCAGTTATGGTCATAAGTCGAAGACTACCTTTACAAGGTTGTAACTGTGTTTTGTTTCTTTGGATTTAAATTAGGGGTCTTCAAACATGGCCCTTTTATGACTTGTGGACTTCAACTCCCAGAATTCCTCAGCCAGGCACACTGGCTGAGGAATTCTGGGAGTTGAAGTCCACAAGTCATAAAAGGGCCACGTTTGAAGACCCCTGATTTAAATGCTCGGAAACCGGGCATTTCCTGGGCAGGTGCACAAATGTCAAAACACACCTGTAGACTTTGTGAAAAGGAGAAGCACAAATCAGCAGCCAGCTTAGTTTTTATTATATGTTTTCTGAGGCAAGATGGCACTTCCTGCTCTCCAGCCTTTTCCCTTAGAACTTCATAGTTTGAGCACGTCTGGATTATTTTGGGCGCTCTATAAATCACTTTGTTGTCATTGAACATTTGATGTCTTTGACGGTTGTGAAAAATTGCCCATGGTTTCCTTCTTAAAGCAGGTACAGAGTAACCTGTTCTTAGAAAAGGTCATCTTTGGGAGAAGAAAAAAACAGAAGTTGCAATATAACCTTTGTTAAAAAATTAAACTGAATGAAGCTGGACAATTCCAGATTATATTGCTAATTTGGAAGCAGCTTCAATCTCTGAAGAATAATTAGAACCAAATCTTATTTAGGTGTCTTTCCTTCCCCCCCCCCCCCCCCCAGTACTAAAAAGAACAGTGACTCCTGAGGAACTTTTGAGGCCTGGGGCGCCATATGCTCGGAAAACATTCACTGTAAGTTTCTGTTTCACATCTTTATATATTATATTTGATCATTTATTATCCACAAAGGTTTATGCAATGTTGCGACCATTGCTTAGACTTTTAGCTATTAAATTTCTGGTGCTGAACCTGACAGTGGTGTAATTTGAGGTCCTAAGGCTATTTTCGTGCAGCAGTATAGAAATAACACAGTCATTTTGAAATCATTTTATAAATATGATTAATAAGATTAGGGCAATGTGTTTTTATGTGCCTAGCTGGAGAAAGTTAAACAGGGTTGCAATGGGCTGGTACTTGGATGGGACACCAGCAAGAAATGTCAAGGAAGTAGGCTAGGAAAAGACAATGGCAAGCTGCTTTGATATCGCTGCCAGTGAAAACTACACAAACACATGCATGCAGTTGCCAAGAAATGAGCTGGACAGATATACAGGTAGTCCTTGACTTATGACCGATCACTTAGCACCCGTTCAAAATTATGGCGGACCCTCCAAAAGGGACTTACAACCTGGTTTTATAGTTCCAAAATCACTCTGTACCATGATCGTGTGAGGACATTTTTGGACACAGCAGCCAGCCTCATTTATGGCCATTTGTAGTGTCCCATAATTGTGTCACTATGATTTATAACGGTTTTGTCAGAAACTAGCATTTACTTCCTGTTTCTGGGGAAAAAACAACCCATAGTGAACAATGAGTTCATATAATAACCGTGATGTTCACTTAATGACTGCTGCAGAAAAAGTCATATAATTGGGCCCAGTCGCATGGCAACCCCCTTTACCGCTGTCATGACTTACAGCCGTAATTGCTAGACTCAGTTATGGTTATAACTTGAGGACTACCTATATACAGATACAGTAGATACATATACAGATATACAGGTAGACACACACATATGCACATATATATGAATACTGTACACATACCCATAGGCATACAAACACATTTGTATAGAAACATTTTGAACATGGGAGGCTTTGCAACTTAGAAGAAACACTTTATATGCATTATCTGAGCAAAGATAGCATATATACTAACCTATAGTCTATTTAGTATAAAGGCTTCAGATTAGTTCTGCTTTTTGGTCTCTCAGGTGGAAAATTGCCTACAATTAAGCTGTGCTTTCTTGACACTTCTTGGAATGCAGATTTGGAAAACACTATAGATGAGTTAATAGGGGCTTCTTCACAAACTTTTCACCTTACACTGTTGTTGTTTTGCTGGCCCAAAGGAAAGACATTACTCCTCACTGTAATGTTGAATCTGTGGGTAAATGTCTTGGATAATTTCCAACAGGTACACTGCAAGTTGGGTGGGTGATTTTTTTTTTTTAAAAAAAGATAGATGAATGTAGTATTTGAAGAAAGCAGGGCTAAAAAATGAGCTATGTTTACTCTGTCTTTAAGATGTTTATTGTGATCTCTCAAAATAAAAGTTAGAACACCTTCATATTCACTGTTCCTTCCTTCCTTCCTTCCTTCCTTCCTTCCTTCCTTCCTTCCTTCCTTCCTTCCTTCCTTCCTTCCTTCCTTCCTTCCTTCCTATTTTTATCCTGCCTTTATTGCTTTATATGTAATTCAAGGTGGTGAATAAACATAATATTCCTTCCATCTATTTTCCCCACAACAATCCTGTCTAGTGGTTTTGGCTGAATGAGAGTGATTGGCTCAAAAACACCCAGTCGGCTTTCATGCCTAAGCCAGGACTAAACCTCACAATCTCCTGATTACAGAGGGATGTAGTTGTACCTAAGAATTTGCTCCAGAATGACCTGCTTTACCAAGACGTTTAGCCATTTTTAGACAGGAATGAAGTGAGGCTGTAGATTAAAATCACTGTATCAATACCGAACATCAAATGCCGTTGCTCTGCTTAAAGAAAGAAGAGAGATAGAGATAGAGAGAGAGATTATTAACAAGATTCAGTGTGGCCATCTTCTTCTTTTCCTTTAAGATTATAGGTGATGCTGTTGGGTGGGGATTTGTGGTGCGAGGGACTAAGCCCTGCCACGTGCAAGCAGTGGATCCCAGTGGGCCAGCAGCTGCATCGGGAATGAAGGTAACTTGAATTCATACAGTTGAACGTTTTTAATGAGGGTGGGGTGTTGGGAGGAACAGGTTTTTGGACCACTTCATCTGGGATAAAAGCCAGCCCAGAACTTCCATGGCACTCTTATAAAAACAGCCCTATATGGCAGCTGCCTACATCATTAATCTAAATATCTGCAGTGTAGAACTTCTACAACCCCTGGTAGAAGTTAATTTAGCTGTGGTTCTTATAATTTCAGCAAGAGGCCCACTCAGCCTTTGAGTGGGTGCTGAGAGCTGCACACCATAGTCCTTGACTTGCGACTGTAATGGAGCCCAGAATTTCCATCGTAAGCCACGTCAGTCATTAAGTCGAGGTACCCACATGACCAACCTGACTTTACAACCTTGTTTTGCGACAGTTGTAAAGCAAGCTCAGTGGTCATAAAATGAGTCCATTAATTCCTATGGGTTTGGTTTTTCTGGCTGAAAAGGCCAGAAAACAGCAAAAATTGCCATAAATTGCAGTCAGACGATCTCAGAAGGCTGCAATCAACCGTAAAAGTGAGGCAGTTGACAGGTGTCCAAAATCCGGTCATGTGGCCACAGAAAGGTGTGCAAGCATCAGAATTCTGGAACTGAGTCATAAGTATCTTTTGGGCAATCCATTGTAACATCAAATTGTCACTAAGTTTACAGGTTGTTAAGTGAGGACTACCTATATATACCAGCAACTCACTAGGGCTGGGACAAAAAATAAACATGGTTTTTATTTAATTCACGTTCAATTATGATCTGAACTGAATTCATTAAGAGAATTAATATGCTCACAGAATCTTAATAGGGACCCAGAACTGAAGCCTGACAAGACCTGATTAGTAAATGGATGGGAGGTAGTGTATAATAAGAAGCTGAAAAACATTCTAGGCAGAAGGAAATATTTTTATAGCAAATTATTTTTGTCCTGTTGTGAAGAGACTCCATGTTTGTATAGATAGTCCTCAACTTACGACTACAATTGAGCCAAAATTTCTGTTGCTAAGCAAGACATTTGTTAAGTGAATTTTGCCCCATTTTATGACCTGTCTTGCCACAGTTGTTAAGTGAATCATTGCAGTTGTTAAGTTAGTAACATGATCATTAAATGAATCTGGCTTCCCCATTGGCTTTATTTGTCAGAAGGTAGCAAAAGGAGATCACATGACCCCAGGACACAGCAACAGTCATAAATATGAACCAGTTGCCAAGCACCTGAATTTTCATCATGTGACCAGAGCATGCTGCAATGGTCATAAGTGTGAAAAACGGTCATAACAGTTTTTTTAATGCCGTTGTAACTTCAAACAGTCACTAAATCAAGGACTTCCTGTAGTCCTAAGGAGATGGCATTGATTTGAAGGCATCTTTTGAGGGTTTTTTTAATATGTTCACTACACATGTATTTAATAAATGTATCCCTCTGATTAAGAATCTAAAAGGATTCTTGGGAAGCAGGGAGGCAAATGCAACTTTTCAAGTCTGCATCACATTCTGACCTACAAGTAGCTAGATGGGCCTCTTCCTCTCCTGAATCTCCCTTAGAGCAGGGGTCCCCAACCCCCGGTCCGTGGACCAGTACCGGGCCGCAGCATGCCAGCAACTGGGCCGCACAAACAAGCAAAGCCCCATCTGTAGGATGCAGGCAGCACACAAAACCACGCACTCTCAGGTCTGCGCAAAAATCTTTCTCCATGGAACCGATCCCTGGTGCCCAAAAGGTTGGGGACCTCTGCCTTAGAATGACCAAATAAGGACCATGCCCACTCCCTGCAGGTAGTCCTCGATTTACAACTATTCACTTAGTAACCATTCGAAGTTCCTTCCCCTGTCCTTACCACTTTCTATAGAGGGACGATCGAGAGCATCCTGTCATATTGCATTACTGTCTGGTTTGGAAGCATCACTGCTTCAGACAGGAAGGCGGTGCAGAGTGGTGAGGATGGCAGAAAAGATTATTGGCAGTTCCCTCCCATCCATCCAGGACATAGCATATAAGCGTTGCTGTAGCAGGGTCCGCAAGATTGTCTGGGACACCACACCTCCTCTTCATGACCTGTTTTCTTTGTTACCTTCTGAGAGGAGGCTCCATGGTATCCAAATCAGAACATCCAGATTCAGCCACAGTTTCGTTCCATATAGCATCAACCTTGTGAACTCTCAAGCTTCCTCTTTCCATTATGTATTCAAAACAGACAGTGATTAATATTTATATGTATATATATGGGTGTAGGTATATATATATGTGTGTGTGTGTGTGTGTGTGTATAGCATGTGTATACGTATGTGTGTTATGTATGTGTATGGATAGATATATACTTTCTTTTGAGAGCGGGCAGCAGAATTTCATTTTTAATGTGGGCCAGTGTGCTCACAGTAAAAAATGATAATAAAGGTTATCTTATCCTATCATTTTACAATGCACTGGAAAAAAATGAATTATAACTGTTTTTCACATTTATGACCATTACAGCGTCCCCACGATCACATGAGCCAAATATGGGTCCTTGGCAAGCAGCTTGTATTTATGCTCCAACACTGGAAGTTTTTAAAAAGAGACTGGACAGCCATTTGTCTGAAATGGTATAGGGTTTCCTGCCTGAACAGGGGGTTGGACTAGATGATCTCCAAGGTCCCTTCCAACTTGATGATGATGATGATGACGACGACAGTTGCCCTGTCCTGGGGTCATGTAAATGCAATTTGTAATCTTCCCAGACAGCTTCCGATAAGCAGAGTCAATGGGAGAAACTTAAGGATTGCATGCTTCAGTTAACAATTGCAATGATTCATTTAACAACTGTGGCGAGAAAGGACGTAAAATGGGATGCAACCCCCTTGACCAACTGCCTTGTTTAGCAGTAGAAATGTGGGGCTCTGTTGTGATCATAAGTAAAGGACTACTTGTAACAAACCCCAGAAGTGAAAACATTATTTTTTTCCTTTAATCAAATGTTCCTGCTAGATGAGCCTGGAACCTTTCACCAAAATACAAGACTGAGAAAACTTGGCGAGAATGAAAAGGGCAAGAATTTGACCACAGCCCACATTTAACCGTTGCTTTCTGCAAGTGCTCTTGGCACCAAGACCCGCTTGACTGCTCTGCTTTGAGATGCCCTCAGATGCCGGCATATTTCTGTAGGATTTTGCTTGCTGCCTTACAATAGAATAACAGAATTGGAAAGGACCTTGGAGGTCATCTAGCCCAACCCCCTGCTCAGGCAGGAAACACCATTTCAGACAAATGGTTGTCCAATCTCTTCTTAAAACCTTCCAGTGTTGGAGCATTCACAACTTCTGGAGGCAAGTTGTTCCATTGATTAATTGCTCTAATTGTCAGGAAAATTCTCCTTAGATCCAGGTTAGTTCTCTCCTTGATTAGTTTCCATCCTTTGCTTCTTGTCCTACCTTCAGATGCTTTGGAGAATAAGTTGACCCCCCTCTTCTTTGTGGCAACCCCTGAGATATTGGAACACTGCTATCATGTCATCCCCTAGTGACAGTCCTTCTTTTCACTAACTAGACATACCCAATTCCTGTAACCTTTCTTAGGAAAATTGCAGTCTTCGTTCTCCTCACCCTCTCTCACCTTGCACTCTTGTTGTTTGCATCACGTAGAACCAACGCTCCCAGGGCAAGAGTTTGCCCTACAACTCAGCAGGCAGATTTGAAGAATTGTTGCTAGGTAAAGCTGGAAAGAACACACATGTCACAAAGTCAGGGCTGTGTTTTGCTTTTTGCAAGGTGGCAGGAAAACTGATTTAAAAAAAATAAATCACTTGTTCTGGAATGCACTATGGAGAAAATGGAATAACGTGTGAGATGACGTCGTTATGATGCAAATTCCATTGTTTGCATCCAGTTATGTTGTTCGTGTACAGGTAGCCCTCGACTTAAAAGAATTCATTTAGTGACCGTTCAAAGTTACAACATCACTGACAAAAGTGAATTATAACCAGTTTACACCGGTTCAGCCAGTTTACACCGGTTCAGCAGAATTTTTTGTTGCCCAGACCCAGAATGGACTTCCAGAAGTGGCATCCACACAGATAACCGGTTGTTCACATATTTGAATCCCACCACTGCTTATAACTTGTTGTGCCCTGGGGTCGTGTGACCCCTTTTTGCAACCTTCTGACAAGCAAAATCAATGGGGAAGCCAGATTCACTTAACAACCACTAATTTAACCACTGTTAAGTGATTCACTTAACAACTGTGGCAAGAAAGGTCGTAAAATGGGGCAAAACTCACTTAACAAACGTCACACTTAGCAAAAGAAATTTTGGACTCAATTGTGGTCATTAGTCGAGGTTTAACTGTAATGACATCATGCAAATTACTGTATTTAAATGACACAAATGGTGCAGTGTGTCACCACAATGGTATATTTCAGCAGACTTTCGGGATATTTCAGGAAGAATAGACTTCTTTTCAATAGAATAGAATAGAGCTGGAAGGGACCCTGGAGGTCTTCTAGTCCAGCCCCCTGCTCAAGCAGGAGAACCTACACCATCTCAGATAGGTGATTGTCTAGTCTCTTCTTTAAAAAATATCCAGTGATAGAGCGCCCACGATTTCTGGGGGCAAGCTATTCCACTGGTTAATTGTCCTCACTGTCAGGAAGTTTCTCCTTAATTCCAGGTTGCTTCTCTCCTTGATCAGTTTCCAACCATTGTTTCTCGTCCTTCCCTCTGGTGCTTTGGTGAACAATGTGACCCCCTCTTCTTTGTGGCAGCCCCTCAGATACTGGAATACTGCTATCATGTCTCCCCTATTTCTTTTTTTCTTTAGACTAGCCAGACCCAAGTCCTGCAGCCGTTCTTCTTCGTATGCTTTAGCCTCCAGGGCTTTGATCATCTCAGTTGCCCTTCTTTCCCCACATTGCTTTTCCGCACCTTTCTCTCCTCATAATTTGTCCTTGTCATTCTCCCACACCCATCCATCACTTGCAGCCATTGCCTTTTGTTCTTAAATCTTCTCATCTTTTTCTTGCA